CCCCAAAACCCCAAAACCCCAAAACCCCAGATTTAGTAAGTTGGTTGAAATTTTAGTGATGGGGTATGATCTGGTGATTATTTACCTGCTGGAATCTTCTTTTGCAAATCTATAACATCAAATTTTTCCATTACCTGCTTTTTCAGCAGTGAGCTTATCAACTGCAGCTTTCAAAGTTGTGATCTCCTTGACGTGTTGAGCAATCTTCGCCCCAGCATTTTTAAGATCCTTTGCAACTTTGGCTTTTGCTTGAATTTCTTTGGCTAGAAAGATATCATTTAAGATAAGAAAATTAATGCACAAGAGGTATAACTTGGTTAATATAGTATTTTTAAAGAGCATAAAATTTAACACTTTGATATGTGAATGAAATTTTTTATTAAAACATAGAGCTAATTAGTGCTTCCATAAAAATTCTTGCTCAACATTTTAAATTTTGATCTTACTGAATATTAAATCCCTATTGCTATGCAACTTTTATGCTAATTACTCGTATTCTACGATTATTCTAAGCCCCTTAACTATTTTGAAGCTACCAAGTACTACTCAAAGTCCGTTTCTAATTTACCTTTGGCAGCAACCTCCTTATTGAGATTATCTTCAATTGCCTTCTTCTCTTCAGCAGCTTTTGCTAAATTTTCAGTCAAACTTTTATGCTCTTCTGCGAATCTATTAAGATCTTTCTTAAGAGCTTCTTTATCTGCTATTTCTTTGTTTAAGCTTGCCTGGACACTTTGGAGCTTCTTTTCATTCGCATCTTTACTCTTCTTTTCAACAGCTACTTTTGCTTCTTCTGCTTTGACTGCATTGGTAATCTTGGCAAGATCTTCAGTAAGCTTTTTCTTCTCATTCTGGAGTGTTCCTACTTGCTTCTTTGTATTTTCAAGCTCAGGCTTAAGCTTCTCTAATTCTGGTTTAATCTTGTCAAATTCAGGCTTGATCTTGGCAAACTCAAGTTTGAGTTTTTCTCACTCAGGTTTAACTTGGCCAAGCTCTTTCTTAACCTTCTCATAGTCTGTTCTTATCTTCTCAAGTTCTAAACGAGCCTGCTCACTTATGTTAAGATCATTAGTAAGCTATGGGTAAGAGGAATAGAGTACCTTAGTTATAGTATTCTGAAGTTTCTGTATCTCTATATAGGACAAACGGTAAGATTAGTATTTAAAATTTAAGACATACACTTCTTAATGATTATAACGTAATTTTTGTAGCCTCAAATTAAAATTATGGTCAATGAAATTAAATTCATCCCAGATCAAGTTTTAGAAACCAATAAAGAATAGATGACTGTGAATCCTCAGTTAATTAATATGGATTCCCTCAATTGTTTTGGATAAATTGAACTTAGAGTGTTTCTCTCAGAAAACCTTCTATTAAATCAAGAAAAATATGCCTAAGTTATGGATTTTTATGAGCTCATCAAAGAAGTTTTTCGAAATTACTAACTTGAGAAGGGAAAGAAACTGTCCATTTAATAAAGATATGAAGACTGATAGAACTAGACCTTACTTTATTTATCTAATTTTATAATATCTGATTATTAAGCCCGGAGACTCAAGCATTGTAGTAAAACTAGAAGCTCAAATTATAGAAGAAAATGAATAATCTAGAAGGAACTTGCTAGTATCAAAAGTCATGTTAATTCAGTCTTCAATGGGATAATAATTTTTTTTTTCTAGAATAAGCGCATGAGATAGAAGAGCTCTTAATAGATTTATGCTAGCATCTTAGCTTCACTTTATCTTAAGAATTATAGATTTAGTATGACTCTTTTATTTCTTCTTCAACGAACAAGAAAGAATTAAATTTAAGTAATTATCTACCGGTTTTCATCAAAAGATTAATTTATCCAAATTTTTGAAAATTGGTAGAATTTGTGGTAAATCTTAAATTTTATCATTCCTTACCTTTCACATTGCTTGTAATCTCCAGCTTAGCTCTCTCCATTTCTTGTTGTGTGATCCTCATCTTTGTGCCAAATTTGATAATAAGCTTCTCTCTCAGTTCACCATACTCCTTATCAAGCTGGGCTCTATGACTTTTCATAAATACTAAAGATTAGACGAATTCTTACTTTCTGTATGCTCAGTACATCCTCTTTGAATAAGCTTATCCAACAAGTTCTTGGCGAAGGCATTGTACAGTTCTGAGTTCTTAAGCTCATTCCAGAACCTTTAAAAAGATCATTTAATACTACAAATGTCTAATGAAAAGGAAATAAGGAAACCATCAGATTTTTCCCGAAGTGTTTATGGAAGGATATTCTGGAAGAAATTTTACTTTTCGATTTTGATGTTGCTCGAATAATACTGCAGATATTCATCCTCAGCAAGGATCGTGTTGATCCTTTCTTCGATTTCGTTCCACTCAGTGACAAAGGATTCTAGCCCTTCTTCAAAATTTTCTACTTCTTCCATCGACTTGTTTTTCTTGTGGGTGTTGAAAATGTAAAGGACTTGATGAATTCCCAGAATTTTGTCTTGAAGATTTTGTCTAGAGGGTACTTCAAAAACTGTTGTAGCATCTTTAGAGTCGGATTTGCCCTCCTCATCTTGGGGTTTACAGTTGTAGTGCTAAATAGGTTAGAATCTCTGGGAGAGAGATAAAGTAGCTTACAATATGAAAATCTCAACTCTCACAGATCATTCTTTCATGCTTTTGGCAATAGTATTTTCTTTCATCTAATGAAGGAATTAGGATATAATGCTTATATAAGATATCTTACTTCAACACTGGGCAGTTTTACACTTCATTCTATACAAAAAGTTAACCCATCAAGTTCATACCTATCTCTAATTTCTTTTTGATACAACATATTTAGATTATTAATCCACAATATTTTCAAATTTTCTTCCCTAAATAGGGGTTTTGGGGTTTTGGGGTTTTGGGGTTTTGGGGTTTTGGGG